GGACGTACTAGAAGAAGAGGAAAAAGAATTTTTAGAGTAGGGACTCAAATTCTTGTCTCTACTAGTAAAAGAAATTTTTGATTAGGGAGAAAGAGTTTTCAGTGTATGGACGCACACCCTTAGCTTTTGTAGAAATTCAAGATCAGAGGGGTACGTTGGTCATGTAGAAAGTAGCTTTGCCGTTCACCAGACAGAGTGGAACCATAACTTTCACCATAGAGATGAACGATGTTTGAATAGAAAGTGGAGCACCAATTGCTGTAGAGAGTTGTTCTAGACACTGGAAGGAAGAAAAAGGGGAAATCATTGGCCAGGTGGACGACACACATTGATCGGCATTGCCCGCGATTCTTGAATAATCCACATCACTTCTACTTCCATTGGAACACAAGATTCCTATTAGTTGTGACAAAGGCCGTTATCCATATTTTGATTTTATCTTTGGACAATTCCTCAATATCTTCTTCTTTCTCAACAAAATGTTTTCTTTGTTCGGTAGCGGAAGCTATTTGAGTCTCTACCAATACCATGTATAAAAAGAAAAAAAAGATGTGATGTTTGAGAATGAATTGCTTGATTATTCCCTCAAGCACGTTGGGGTTTAAATAGTGTTTACAAGTAATCCTAAAAAGGTAAGATAAAGTAATTCTTGTTTCTAATTATACAATTAAGACTTTATACCTTTCCAATATATATAAGGAATGTGATATTGCTATTAATAATTTCGTAATTCTTAACCAGATCCTAAAGAGCAGACTATTGTGTGCATCAAGATTTTGAGGGGCTTGTAAGTCCTCTTAAAAGAGATGGTGCCTCCAAAATGCGTACACAGGTGCACGGTTTTCGTAAGCTTGTGTTGCCGTCCTTGAGAGTGAGAAGAGTGAATATCACTCTTTAAGTGGGGTGTAATTGACATATTTTTTGTCTATGTATTCATAATAAGCACTTTATCGAGCATTCTTACCTACTACTTGTCTTTGTTGCAAGCACAAGTGAGCGTTACTGAAAAACTGGAAAGACTTCAAGAAACTTTTTATGGATGCGACAGATGGTGCTAGCAAGATTCACTTAGTTAATTGGGAGGCTGTTCCCAACGAAGTGGGGTGGTCTAGGGGTAAAAGATCTCAAGAAGTTTAACAGAGTTTATTGGAGAAGTGGTTATGGCGATTTGTGGTGGAGGAGGCCGCCTTATTGAGGGTAGACAAATATGGCACATCGGGGTGGGGGGGTGGGGGTGGGGGGGAGGACTAGAGATTTTACTGTTTCATTTCGTTGTAGCATGTGGAGGAGCATTATGAAGGCTTTAATGGTGACATCACCTTTAGGGCGGGGGACGGTAGGAGAATTAGTTTTGGAATCACAAATGATATGGGGAGAGCCCATTGAGGGTGTCGTTCACTAACATGTTCAAAATCTCAAACCACGTGGGGTCAACAGTCAACCAGACCTGCAAGGAGCATGAAAGGGAAGCTTTTTGGGACTTTACTTTTAGGAGAAACTACAAGACTGGGAGATGGAAGAATAGTCGTTACTCTTCAAGCAAATCAGGCACAACGTTTGTGATTCTCTTGGTGGTGGGACTTGAGGAGCGATGGGTTGTTTACTGTCAAATCTCTCTAACAGAGCTTGCTTGTGAGAGAGGAGATGCTTTTTCCACATCTTTCGATTTGGATTCCTAGGGCACCCAGGAAGGTGTGTTTTTTTGCATGGTTGGCAGCGAGGGCAGGAAATCTGACAGCTAAGAACCTAAGGAAGAGAAATATCAGTCATGTTAGCTGGTATTTTATGTGCAAGTGTTCAGGTGAAGGAGTTGATAATCTATTGGTGCATTGCAAAGTGCCGTCGAGCTTCTGGAGGGTGGTCTTGAATTATTTTGGTGTACAATAGGTAATGTTGGGTACTGTAAGAGAGGTCCTGCAAAGTTGGGCTGGAATATATAGAAGGCAAAAGGCATGGAGGGTTGTCCCATTAGCTCTTATGTGGGTAGGAAAGCTTTTGAGGGGATTGAAAATGAGTTTTTGCACATTTAAGAAATAGCCTTTTTTCTTTGATTGCTTTTTGGTGCAGCCTCAAAATTCCTCGTTGTATAGATGTTTTGATGTAGATTCTCTACTTTTTGGTTTACCTCTTGTATATGGGAGCTTTCATTCCCCTTGTTTAACAATATTATTTACCTTATCAAAGAAAATAATGTGTCTAGGTATTTTTCTCTTAGGGATACAGTTGTGCACAATAACTTTATGTGGTATGCTACTTTGATATCCAAACCTCAAATTTTTTGAACCCTATTTTCTCATGTGCTTGTGTTTAGAAAGTGCCTCCTAGGTGTTGAAAATAAGCATATACTTTGAATGGCCACATCCTCACATTGGAATTGGTTGTTGCGGTGAACACTGTTTTTATTTTTTCCCACACCAAAAAGGCAAAAAGTATAGCTTCATGTTGAAGAACTGTGACCAGCATCAGTACCTTTCGTGCCCTCCGTTTTTTCCTCTTTTCTTTCTATTGTATCCTCATGTTGGTCTAATATGGCAATTACTATTTCAGTCTAGTTTTCCCTGCAAATCGTTGAGGTAGAGCATGATTGAAAGTTGGGATGCATGGCTATTGCTATGGGGTCCATGAAACTGGTCTTTACATTAGCATACTTTTGCTTGCATTATGTAGGTTATTGAATTTGTGAAGAGAAATATTGGCACATATACGCCATTACTAGCAGGAAATTCAGTCTACGTGGAATTTCAATATCTGAAGGTATATTTATTTTAGTATAAATCTATAGACGTATCATTTTGAAGTATCTCATCAACAAATAAATGGATTTGTGATAATTATATGTACCATGTCGCATTACCCCGCTAGAGGCAAAGACTATAGGCGATTTCTTTCCATCTGTCCAAACTTTGATGGATAGACTTACCCAACAACTGTGCTGGTGGGAGGTACCAATTACCCATGAAATTAGTCGAGGTGCACGCAAGTTGACCTAGATGAATGGTTGTCAAATATATATACTTTATAGGAAGATAGTAGGTAAGCGTCGTCCCATTACTATTTCTTGTCAACTAACAAAAACTAAGGAGTGCTTTGTCATTTTAACCAAAATCTCCCAAATCCATTTCACTCTTCCCCTCATCACCCAAAAGCCCCTTTCTTCTTTGCAATTTGATTTTGAGAATGCTAATTAATAGGAAAACAAGTGTTCCTTTATATCTTTTAGATCAAAGCCAGTTGTGACAAGTGTAAAACATATTTTTATTAAAAGTATAGCTCTCAGCATAAGTAGAAAAAAGTGGGAAGCAGGTAATTCCATTTAACTATTTCAGCTCCGTTCCTTTAAATTTGATAAGCTTGAAAACTCATACAACTAATGGATTTAAGATTCCCAAATATGGTTGCTTTTGATGTCCATATAATAAATAAAATTTTGATTCTTTTCTAGTCCCAATCCCCAATTGCAAACCCATCAATGGCGATACTATCTTTATTCAACATCATTTGGTTTTTGTAATATCCAAAATCTAGGAACAAGGAGATCTGGTGATTAAGATTTGGACATTTAAGTGAAAGATACACGGAGAAATCAAGGATAGAGATACAATGAACCATGAATAAGTAAAATTGAAGCTGAAATGGGATAACCGTAGAGAAGCAAGGAGCTTTTGGGTGAGGTTTGGAAGAGGGATTTGGGGAATTTTGGGTTGAAATGACAAACAAGTCCCTAATTTTCATTAGGTGGCAAGAAATAGTAAGGGCTTCAGGGAATATTTTAAAAGTTAGCCGGATGAAAGAAAATGTGAGGAGAAGTTTGCGCGGGAATAAATAGACTTATTTCTTGGAAAGACCAAAACATCCCTGCTATTAAAAAAAGGGGATGTGTTTATAAGGGTGTTTTGGTGAACTCCAAAAATGGGTACAATGCTAATATTCTACCTTCATGTATTATGTTAGCATTATATGTATATATATCATATATATTTCTTGCCACGTGGCATAGTCTAGTATGATTTGGGTGTTTCTATGCAGTTTTACTCGATTGGCCTACCAAATTTAGAGCCTGTTTCTAAATTGTTCTCTTTCTAATTTATGTATGCAGAAATATATGTCGAATCTGGCTAGTCTTTTTTCACATGTACTTGTTGATGTTAGCAGTGTCAAGGCATTGTGTCTTCGTTGGTATCCAAGAGGTAAAACCAGTACAGGTTATTGCAGTGTACTATGTCTACTTTAATGTATTCCTTGACGGGTGGGGGTTGTTAAGTAGACTAATATTCAGATTCTTTGGCTGTTGCATTTTTTATTTTGCATCTTTTCCATCTATTTAATAGTATTTTCCTGCTTTTTCATTAGATGGAAAAAAGGCTCCAAAAAATAAAACAAGCACTGAGCTATGGATGGCATTAAGGAGAGCATAGCAGAACTCAAATACTACAAGGAACACCTATTCAAAGCATCCAAGTCCAATAAGTAATGGTGCGCAAAATTTCCTATTTCCTGGTTATGGGTTCTTTTAGGTTTAGTATAAGCAACATTACACTTCACAGAAAATGTCTGTTAGTATTTCAACAGGTAACCAACTCATTAAGTTAATATCATCTTCTGTGGCCTGGGCAAAAGTGGATGTGTGTGTGAGGGGAAATAACAGAACAATACTTCTTTTTGCCTTTCCAGTAATAGATGAAATCAGACTTGGTCGCAATTTCAGAGATACTGATTACACAATGAATTTTCGTTGTCAGTTGGTTAGCATGTAAAAGGAATATGTTATTTAAAATTTCTTAACGAATAATGTCTTTTCTATCTGAACCTTAAATCTACTTTCAAAGCCAACAGAAGAGGGCTTATAAATTCTCACGTTGAAAGAGTTCTTTTCACATTTGCAAAGTACTTAAAAAGTTCGTAGGAAGGATTTCCATGCTAGTTAATTACTATTTTTGAGAGACAACAAGGACTCAGCAATGATCTCCAAGATTTTATTGCTATTATAATAGTACGCCTGACTCATTTGCTGAGAGTCTCGAACACAGCCGAAAAGTCGTGGTCTCCCAAGCCCAAGCTCCTTGCCTTCTTGAATGCCTGGAGGCAAAAAGTGTACAATTGAGTTAAACTTAAAAAGCCAACTAGAAAGAATTGTATGATGTTTAGATCAAACAAGTGAAGGCTTACCTCATTTGCAGCAGCTGCCACTGGCATTGGCACTGCATTCTCATCTCCGAGTGCAAGAGCCAACCTCATGTCCTTCTGCTGATGTTTCAGAGGAAATGCAGGTGGGTAGCTATTTTTTATCATGGCAGGTCCTTTCATTTTGAACATTGGGTTAGCAATGGCTCCAAGATCCTGTGAGAATGAAGATTTACTTGGATATATGTTTTAAAGGGAAACATCAACCTAGCTATGGCCTATGCTTACCAACACATCAAGAAGGGTATGAGGGTCCAATCCACTTTTGTCAGCCAATACAATTCCTTCCGAAAACGCATTCATCATACTGCACATTCATTCATAATAACGTAAGACAGAATTCACTCTTGGGAGAACACACAAGGAACATAAAAGTTGATTCAAAGAGCCACTGCCAATTACCTGCCCATTATCATATTAACAACAAGTTTCATTTTTGCTCCATTCCCAATCTGTCCCAAGAAAAAAGATTTCTTTCCCAAGACATCAAAAGCAGGTACTACTTGATCGTACAGATCCTACAAGGATTCAACTAAAAAGAATTAAATTGATAAAAGACCAACAGAAGTTTGATTATGGAAGGTTGTTTAGTTGCAGTGTGCTATGAAGTTCACAATTCTTCATCGATAATACAGGGGATCTCACTATGTTCATTTTTCACATTTACACATGCATATTTCAGTCTCAAAGTTGCACACAACATAGTTGTTATAATTGAATAGAACTAGTTAGGCTGCACAAAATTTGAACGGACAAAGGTTGGAATGCACAACCAATGCTTAAAACCCAACTCATTAGTTATAACTTTTTTGGGAGCTATTTTTCATCCAAACTTGTAGGGTTTAGACAGTTTGAGATCTTAAGTTTCACCAAAACTTGTAAGGGTTTGACAATTCGAGATCATAAGTTGGGAGCATTTTTTCTTCAAACAATTAAGGAAAGTATTGTTTTTCACATGTTGTGTTCAAACTTGGAATTCATGCAAAACCAAAGAGAAATATGCAAGAGTGTGGTTCCATTAAAGAGCTAAATAATTTTACCTTGTCACCAGCTGCTAGGATTACTAGTTGGCCATCTTCAGCTGGCTTTTTGCTCCCTGAAACTGGAGCTTCAAGGAAAGAACCACCCTTTGATGTAATGACCTGTAATCATTGAATGTTAGTAAACTGCCACTTATCCCTTCCCTCAGTTTTTTTAACTCACATCTAAACTCTGGAGGTAAAGAAAAACATGAACACCAAAGAGGGTCCATTTGGATGGAGATATTTGGATTTAACAGCGATTTCAATGTATGAGGTTATACATTTCAAAATGACATGTTTTCAACTGTTACTAAATAGAAAAAATGAAATGATCTCAAATTTGAGCTTGTATGTCCTAAATTAGGGAATCAAGATTCAGAAACAAGCTGAGTTACTGATAGTAAGCAATGAAGAATATGTTAGAATGAATGATTAAAGAATTAGAGTTCCCAAATGAAAGGAAATCCGGACCTGGCTAATCTGTGAAGAAGTATCAGCATCAACGGTTGACATGTCTATATAGCCCTTTCCGCCACATATCTGCTCAAGTGCTCCGTGTTTGTCAAAAACCACCTAGGGAAGAAACTCTGATTAGACAAAGGAAGTACAAATAAAGTTGAATAGTTTATATCGTATTGACATGTGTTTGTGTATTAACTGAAAGAGCTGCAGCTGGATCAGACAACATTGCAATTGTATACTTGCATTTCTTGATTACTGCTGCAGGAGTTTCTCCAACAGAGGCTCCATGTTGCACTAGCTCATCACACTGCATTCATCACAAAAATCTTGATACTCAATAATACTAATAAACACTTGGCCATGTCCATTAAAAGCCCCTTACTTGCACAGGAAATTAGGAAAACAGACAATTGAAGAAGAACAAAAGCAATTTGATAGTTATTATCTCATAAAATCACTTTTTTTTTTGTTAGTAGAAAATTGGAATAAATAAAGAAAAATGACTAATAGTTGAGTGGGCAAAACCTTAGTTGTTGGAATACATTCTTCACAAATTTTTGTGTTGTTAAATGGCCAAAGACTTTGGTGCTAGTTGTAAAGAGGGTAAGGTAGGCGCATGTCAAAGAGTTTTGAGGGGCTTTTTGGTAAAAAAATGAAGTGAGACAAATTTAGAGACATACATACAAGCATGTAAACAAAAACTGAAAAACAGAGGGAGTAGAACAGATGAGCGATCAATTTGTTCCATTCAGGTTTCACAACAATAATAAGATCGCATATTTTGGTCATCATTGTTAACAAAGTAGAAAAGAATAATACCCTGGAGAGAGTGCGATTCCAAACAGTAACCTTGAAACCATGGCGCAGCAGGTTCACCGCCATTGCTTTTCCCATAATACCAATCCCCAGAAACCCTATTTCCCCCATTCTTTTTTTCTCTTTCTTCTTTCTACACTGATAATTCTTTTCTATTACTCTTAAAAGCTTGTTGCAACTATTAAAAATGACTGCAACACAAAATATACAATTTAAATCACTTTCCTTTAATTAATTATTAATTATTTAGTATAAATGTACACTTTGATATCTGCTTGTTTTGTAGTTGATTGACCACTTGATTCGTGCCACGTCAACGAGATTCTCTTCCACTCGTTTTCTCTATTTCCTCATTCCTCCATTTGTCTTTTTTCCTCTTTTATGGGAGCCCAAAGTGACCACCCGTTTGGATTGACTTAAAAGTTGGTCAAATTTATTTTTAAGTCAGTTTTTGATTTCTGAAAGTGTTTGACAAATATAAAAAATAACTTAAAATAAGTCAAAAATAACTTAAAATAAGTCAAAAATGACTTAAAATAAGTTACGAAGTATTTGACAAAGTAAAAAATAATTTAAAATAAGTCAAAAATGACTTAAAATTTTTATTTTCATATTTAATTTTTGTTTCTCATAAAAATCAGTCTTTTTTTTATGAATAAATATATTTTTTTGTATTAAAATATTCCACAATGCTTTACATGGATTTTTCCCACGAAGAACTTATGCCCAATAGGCATAATGTCAATTGCTAAAGGACGAAATTTTAAAGTTTCCCAACAAATCCTTTACTCCAGAATATAACGAAATTTCACTTGATGAATCTTTTATTTTACCTCCTCTTTTTACGACCTGATCAAAATTCTTCATATTTATAGTGCAAGAAGGATCTGACTAGAACGTCATCTTGTAGTTGACCTAAGCTGCACCCTTATTACTTGGGTGGGGCTTGGCCTCCGAACCGTACATGGAGGCCAATCATCACTCGCAACATAGTCTTTGATTGACTTGATTGATCTGAGTAGACGCTTACTTTGTGGGACAAAGAATTCAAAAAAGGAGAGAAGATTTTATCCACCAAGAGAGACAATTAGCCTTGTGACCAAGAAGTCATAGATTTGAGACGACAGGCTCTCGCAGAAATGTAGGGTAAGAGTACGTACAATAGACCCTTGTAGCCCAATCCTTCTCTAGACTCCACGCATAGTGAAAGCTTAGTGCACCACACTGCTCCGATCTTAAACCATTTAAAGAGTAAAAATTAAAGGTTGCCTCATTTGAAGGGTATTCGTGCAATTTCATCATATTATTATCCCAAAAGAAGCATTTATTGGCCTAATTGTTGGGCTTCGGGATTTTATGCACAATATATGGAGCAAAATCTTTGCAAAATATATACAATATTCAACAAATATCATAAAATAATAGATTTTGGATATCTTCTTTGCAACAACTTATACCTTCGGGCTAAAACTTTACTGATCATTGTATATGAGCAATACGATCCAAACCATAAAATATAATCACATGTATGAACTAAGAAGTTATTTTTAAGTATGATATCATTGCATAAGTAAGGAAGTGTCAAATAATTGAAAGAACCTCATTCTAAGAAATTCAATTGAAGTACGATCCATATATATGCTATATGACCCATACATTGATCACAGAGAAAACGGAATAGTTATGGCCAAGGTGGCCCAATTCACGGACCGTGAAATGGACTTATGGGTCCGTATAATAATCTATGAGAGGAGTACGTTTTAAGACTTTCTAAGTATGGAGATATGTATAGACGTAAAATGGATATATTGTACATTGTACCAAGGTTGAGACCTCTCCAAAATCGAGCTATTGTTTAAGGAGGGGTGATGATTTACCACGCAACCTACATATAGACCATATGTGAAATCTATGGACACTCCAGAACTCTAGGTAAGACACCAAGAAATCAAAGTACAAAATGATTTACGATTGTAAACTCATCCACGAGCTATGTTCGAGAATTATAAGTGAGACCTTTGAATTTCAATGTCACTAGTTAAGAAAATATTTGATTCATGGACACTATGTCCAATCAACGAGATGTATATGAAGCTCAAGCTCACTATAATTACCCCTCACCAACAATTATAAATATGACCTAACAATTTTTCATCCATTTTTTGACAACTCCAAGCCCTAGAATAGAGAAATTATCTCCTGCACTTCCTTCCATATCAAGGTACACATATTTCATAATTTTATAAGTGGTTCTAACATATGATTATGAATTCTTAATAAGATTCTTTATTAAAATCACTAAAACAAATTCAAACTTTAACGGCCACATTTTAGCAAAGAGATATGAATCTGGTGGCTATAAGTATATGTACAAAGACTAAAAAAAATTCAATCATTAAAAGTCAATTTTTATCCAACAATAACAATAACATTCAGTCACTAAAAAGGTAAACTATCCGATGGTTGATACTAAATTAACCCAAAAATAGCGTACTAGCTTCCCCACTCCCCTGATGTGCTGTGAACTTATAGCACATTTGACGTCCAAAATAAAGGATTAGTGCAAGAAGTCGAGCATGTTTATGTGGATATGACGGTTCTTTTGCTAATGTGTAGGTAAAATACTTTGAATCAAGTGATGGAAGGAAAGAAGCAAAAGTGAAGTGTGCAAGACTGTACGACTGGCTATATGAGTCGTGGTGGTGTGTACGGGGCATGAAGATGTTAGTGGAAGTAACATGAAAGAAATTCAGTTGAAGTCTGGTGACAAGAGACCCCAAATGGGTCATGGTGTCTTGTATATGCTGTACAAGGGCTCGTGAAACAGTTGCAAGTGAAGTTGACAGTTTTTGTTCAAGTCTTGGTTCACGAGGGGTTTTGACGGGCAGTGAAAAACTTCATAGACTATTTAACTTGCTTGTGAAGTGAGTCAACTATTATGTTTCCAACTTCATGTATGACTCTTTTCTAAGACTATTTTTAATCCCTAGGGTTTATTTTTGAATTATTATCGAAACTCTGAGACAAGTTCTTTGTGGAGAAACAATAGTTTCTATTTTGATACATTTTGGTTGAATATATTGGATTAGTTTTTGTGATCTTGATTTAGTGCTTATAATCAAGAAGATTTTGGTTTTTCAATTATCGTAAGTCTATTTTGTTATTCTTTCATTAGTGTCTACTACTTGTTTCATTGAGAATATGAGCGGTTAAATACCACAACTAGAGTTGTGGGAACCATGACTATAACACAACGCTAGAATCAAACACAAATAACTTCTGATTGATGATCACATACGTCGTATCTATTTTCATAATGAATGCTTCTATTGAGTGCACATATTAGAACATGCATGTATACATCACTTGTTTGAGTGAAAAGCGATGATTAGGAAAATCAAGAGACGAGATCTACTAGCTTGTTCTAAAGACTTGAGCTCAAGAGAGGATGGTCTTCTTAACAAGTATGCAAGAGTAAACATCAAAACACTCTAAGACTGAGAGGAGAGGAGTGATATTCATCTAATAGGGCAGAAAGGTGTTTAGATTTACATAGCTTGCTATGATCGCATGAATTTGTCAAGAAATCGTTATTTGTGTAAGGATTCAAGTTGTAAGTCTAAAGGTCATGGGGGACAGACTTTAATTAAACATCAAATCTTGGAACTATCATATGCTACTATTAACATTCAACTTTAACAAAAATAATATTTACTTTTTGCAATTGTGTTTTTTAGAAATATTAACCACAATTGAATAAAAGCACTAGTAAGTCTATTTGTACTGTAAATTCCCTGTGGGATCGACCTAGTTCTATAATTGACTGCGACCGTTTATACTTTTTAATCGAGGTGTAAGTTTGGATATATCAAATTTTGACGCCGTTGATGGGGAGTTTTGGTTCAGAAATACTATACTAACTATTACTTTAGTTGTAGTTGTATTTCCTAATTTTACTTTATGTTTATTGTCTGTGTCATCTAAATGTGAGTTAGATAGTGCATGTCAGATACCAGAAGTAAGGGAGCACCTTTGATTCCTTACGATCCTGAGTTGTAACGAACTATTAAGATAATGGTGAATGCAGAAGAACTTGAAGCCTGGAGGCAGAGGCTGAGACAGGGTGCTGAGGCCATAGCCAGGGGTGTTGAAAACAATGCCAACGACCCAAACATAATGAATGTTGAGGATGAAGAGGAAGAAGAGTTAGCCCCTCCTCAACAACAACCACTAGCTCCAAGAGGTCGAGGACGATTTCACGTATCAAGACACTTCATCTAATACTAAGTGTCAACGATCGTGAGTAGTAATATAACCCAACTAAGTGAATTGGGGTCGAGTCCCAAATGAGTGGTTCGTAATTGAGAATCAATAGGCAAGTAAGAATATGCTCTAGTCAATCATAGCTAAAAATATTTTCGAATAAAAGCATGGTTTAAATTATAGGTGACACAAGTGTCAAATATCAAGAGGGTTTGTTTATATTATCAACTAAAACAACAAATAACATGAAAATACGAATATGGAGACGAGATTCTTGGGATGTGATTGGATTATGGGCTAACGTGAACAATCGGGTAATTGCAATTAATAGTAAACAACTGCAAATCGATGAATAAGCTAGACTTTAGTGGGGGTAAACTTTATCTCGAGCAATTTACCCCGAATCAAATTGGTTTCTCTCGAACACCAATAAGCAGCAATAAAGCACAACCTTCGCTTTAGTCCATTCACTCTCTCGAGCTAACTGTGTGGAAAATGGTTTAAGATTCACTCTCTTGAGCTGAACCCATGACAACCCAATACCCACAGACCATCGATACATTAATTTTGGTTTTAAAACCTCTCTCTCGAGCAAGCCAAAAACACGAAGTTAAGATTGTATTTGCAACTACAACCCATTAAATTCAACCACAATTATTGAACGAAATCATTTTTAAATAGCAAATAAACTATTAATTAACAATACCAAGCAGTTAAATCAACCCATAATCACATAATCACACCCCAAGAATTGGGGTTTTAGCTGGACATAGTAAAAATGTAAAAATCGTTACCAAGTTGTGTTTCCATCAACTGGGTAGGATTGGTATAGTCTTTACAAAGGTCTAAGATGAAGAATCTTCAACACACCCACTTCCAATTTCTCAGAAATGGAAATCTTCAAATCTTCCTAGCTAAGGAAATATTGTCTCCAAAAACT